CAAAAGTGTAATGAAGAGTGTACCTGGATAGGTTGCAAAGCAGTAATGTATAAATAAATCAGCCCAGTTGCCATCCTAAGCTAAGCGTTGAAAAAAATTGACGATGATAGATATGTCCGTACTGTAGCAAATCGATTGACCAACGCGATGAAAAAATTGATAGACGGCGGCCTCACAGTGGGAAAACTCCGAAAACGAAAAGTACAAGACGGAATACCTGGTTAAGTGGCAAGTTTCTTCTCAGTAATTGCTTAATTGCCACCCTAAGCGTCGCCGTGGAATGAGAAGAATAGATATAATCCGTTGAAACCAAAAATGATAAAGTAGACCGGAGCAAGTACAAACGCCGCCGCTCGCCACCGAGATATTGACTGTTCTCAAACTTGGGTAATTAAACCTAATTAATGTTGGGAATCCTTGGAGATTACAAATTCACTTCATCTTTGTTTCGATCTTTGACGTAGTTCGGCTTGGTGGGGATTGTTTTCTGGTTCCCATCGATCACTGCCGATGCTCCTGTGGAGATTTGTAAGTTCCTGTAAAATATTGTTAATATAAAGAGCATCGTTACTCTTACAAAGTCTGCAGGTTTTACTAAAGTGAGACGTGTAAAGAACTAGTGAGAGGAGCTGGTGCAGTAGCAAGATGCAGCACCCCAACCACCCTTACTTCTCCCCATTTGAAGCCGGACAACGCCACAACTTGACCAGTAGAAAAGCACTTCTGGTCGAGTTTCCCTCGGTAAAACTTCTCCTGACCTATCGCGAGTTCTGAATTAAGAGGCGCAGCTAGATGAAGTGACAAATGGCGAAATGTTATAGCTTCAGCTTTTCCGCTGCTGACCTTGAGGTTAGTGGGTTTTCCAGTAAAGCTACGTGGAGCAGTGGGGAGGAGCGCCATCACGGCACGTCTGCTGTTAGAGACTAATTTTGTAGAATACGAGTCAGACCACTTCCCTCGGTGTTTCTTTCTTTCTACCTACGACCAACTTCACCTCTCCGCTGTACCAACAGCTTCCAGTTGTCGGAAAATCTTCAAGCTCTTCTCATCTTTTCCAAGCGCGTTCCCGAGACTGGCGCAAAAAAACTGCTGTCGAGAGCCAATAAAACAGGGAAAACCAAGAAAAGCTAAGAGGCGAAAACACTTCTGTAAACATAAATAACCCCCTCTCTCCCTCCAGCAATAAAATGGGAAACCTTTCGCGTGGTCCTACAACCTATCAGGTGTCCTGAGCGCTGTAGGGCGCTCTAATCGTAAAGATCATTCAGGATTCGCAGACTGCGCCAACCTTGATCGTTTCGAGATAAAACGAAAACATTGGTTGTGTGATAGGAAATAGAAGTAAAGTAGATGTTTGTTGTTCACAG